ATATTAAACATTATAATATTAATATTTGCCACTGCATGCAATAAAATATTTCATTATTAAAATGAAACCACTTTTAATTTTTGTTTGTAGTAGAAACTGTTGTAACAGTTCTTCCTATCTGATGAAGGAGAATATGAAGAGACAACTCTAAAGAACTATGTGCAAATGCTTAATTGGAGATTTCAATTTGTATAAAAATTCTCTAGCATTTAACAAAACAGGGTTAAGAATTTATATAACCAAAAATATGTTGTTTTTTTTTTTTAAGTTGACAAAATCTTTACAAAATTTCCACCCAAACTGCCATTGAGTCTGTTCTGATTTCTACTGAACTTGTATCTGGGGTGATTATCCAACTTTTTTCCGTGGAACCACCAGTGTATTTGAACCACCAGAGACAGTTGGCATTTAGGTTAGTAGCAAAACTATTCTAGCCTGTATAAGAAAAATAAAAATAGTATTTTGGGGGGAATGTACTTATTTTAAGAGTGCTCTCAAGGCTTAGTAATAAGGAGTTGCACCATCAACCCTAAGTTAGGTGATTGGAACCCACCAGCTATTCTGCAAAAGAAAGATGAAATTGTAGAAATCTATTTTCATTTGATTGACTATGTCTGAAAGTCAACTGTACAATTAGCTAAAAGTCAGTTCCTACTCAACAATGTTTGTTGTTGTTGTTAGATGCCATCAAGCTGAGTACTTATGAACCATATATAACCCTATTGACCACTTGACTCTTACTACTGGACTTGACAATACATAACAATAATAACCTTTATTTTAAAGTTAGAGTGGTAAAACTCTAATTCTTGTGATTAATAGGAAATAATTTACTAGACTATATAATCTAATATTCTGTCATAGTAAATATAAATAAGACAGAGAATCAATTGCTACTGATAGAAATTGTTAGGAAAAGTCATACGGAAAATTCATAAACAGACCTTGTATGCAGCAAAAAAGCACAATTCACGAGTTTATTTCAATTTACTATTTTGATGAAAATCAAGTAATTTATGTGTTCTTCATCCACTCCTAAACAACTCTATGAACTTTGATAAACGGCGATAGTTACAGAAAGGTTTCAGGTCTTTTGTTCATAGGGTTGCTCTGAGTCATGTTCAACTAGACAGCAATCAACATTAAAAAAACATTGGAATTAAGCAAAACATACATAATAAAAAAAATTCATGTAGCTTAAATCATGGATCTTTTTAAATGAAGAAAGTTCTGTGTTATATATAGGGAGCTGCACTGCTAACCCAAAGTCTGTTCCTCTATGATAATTTCAATCCACTAGCTGCTCTTCAAAAGAAAGATGGGTAATCTCCAGTTCTTATAGCTTCTAAAATTGACTCAAGAGTCAGCTATGGGTATATTCTGTCTCAGTGACAATATCTAAATACATTAAAATATGAAGATTTTAAAAAAGGATTTTTTTAAGATCTAAAATAAATCCAGAGACAGTAAGATCTGTTTAGAGATACTTGTGTTAAAAAACTCAATAGCTTAAAGGAAAAAAATACATTGTGACTAAGAAGGGGAAAAAATCCATCATAGTAGAAAAACAATGAGAAATAATTTTAATATCCTTAGAAAGAATGGTCTTTGTAATACACTCTTTGTACTGCATATGAAGAAAATAGTTTATAATTTTATTTTGTATACTTTTCAATTTGTTTTGTTACTCAAATGTAGAATATTTTAAAAATAAATTAAGAAAAATTCTGTTAAAAATCTTCCTTATTTTAATATGTTTTAATGTTTAAAATATGTAGACCCTTTAGTTTTATCTCAGCCTTTTAAAAAATTATAATTCTTTAATCCATGTGAAGCAGATGATGAAAAATCAAACGTCAGTGATAGAGTTCATTCTTCTTGGATTGACAGATGACGCCCAAATTCAACCTGTGCTTTTCCTTTTCCTGCTACTGACTTATATCTTAAGTATTATGGGAAATTTGACCATCATCATTCTAACTCTGCTGAATCACCACCTCCAGAGTCCTATGTATTTCTTCCTCCGGAATTTTTCCTTTTTGGAAATTTCCTTTACCTCCGTGTTTGTTCCCAAAATGCTAGTCAATATTGGAACTGGAGACAAGACCATTTCCTTTGCTGGTTGCTTCACTCAGTATTTTTTTGCCATCTTTCTGGGAGCCACTGAATTTTACCTCCTAGCTTCCATGTCCTATGATCGCTATGTTGCCATCTGCAAACCTTTGCATTACACATCTATAATGAGCAGGAGACTGTGCATTCAACTTGTCCTATGTTCCTGGTTCTCTGGGTTTTTAGTTGTCATTGTGCCACATATAATGACTCTCCAGTTATCTTTTTGTGCCTCCAATGTCATCAATCATTATTGCTGTGACTATACTGTATTGTTGCATTTGTCCTGTTCAGATACACATATTATAGACATGCTTGAATTTATCCTTGTTGGAGTGACACTAATTTTCACATTAGTATTAGTTATTCTTTCCTACACATATATTGTCAGAACAATTCTGAAAATCCCCTCTGTTCAACAAAGAAAAAAAGCTTTTTCTACTTGTTCCTCTCATATGATTGTTCTCTCACTTTCTTATGGAAGCTGTATCTTCATGTATTTGAACCCTTCTGTTGAGGATGCAGCCACTTTCAATAAGGGTGTAGCTGTGCTGAATACTTCAGTTGCCCCTCTGTTGAATCCATTCATCTATACTCTAAGAAACCAGCAAGTGAAACTAGCCTTCAAAGATATGGTTGGTAAGGTACAATTTTTTCTTTTTGGAAAGTGAAACTATTTATAATCCATTATGAAAACAAATAATAAATATTTGGAAGATTGTGGAAGCACATGATAGCAATTTAATAATATTTTCTGCATTATCCCATTAATGTCCCTAATTGAATAATAAACATACTCATTTAACATCATTTCTTTGGGCTCAAAATCAACACCCTGTAAAATAATTCAAGAAATCAGAAGATATATTGCACTGGAGGACTCTGTTGCTGCCAAGGCTCTCTTTAAAGTGCTAAAGAGCAATGATATCAGTTTAAAGATTAAGGTGTCTCTGACTTACACCATTATATTTTCAATTGCTTCATATTCACATAAAAGTTGGACAATAAGTAGGGAAGATTGAAGAAGAATTTATGCCTTTAAATTGTAGTGTTGGGAGTAAAAAAGTCTCGAGTACATATTAACAATAGGCAAATCTGTCTCAGACAAAGTGCAACCACAGTGCTCATTAGAAAACAGAATAGTGATAGTTCATTGTGCATATTTTGGACATGCTAGTAAAATGGGACAATCTTTGGTAAAAGACATCAGACTTGGAAAAGCAAAGTCAGCAGAAGAGAGTAATATTTTGAACAAGCTAGATTGGCCTAGATTTCAGCAATGAGCTTTAACACAGCAGAGATGGTGAAACTGGCACAGGAGAATGCAGGGTTTTGCTATTATATACATGGTGTTGCTATGAGTCAAAGTGGTCTCCTAAGGCACATAACAACAACATGTACTCTACCAATGAGTTCTAATATTGTAATGTTCTGATAACTAAAAGGCCACTGTTTTAGACTTACCAGTCTACTTCCATAAAGGTTTTTAGTCTTGGAAATCTTTTTGGTAAATTTCTCTCCATCTTATTGTTTCCCTATGAGTCAGAATCAATTTAATAGCAGTGGGTGTCTATATGGCCATTGACGCACGAATAAGGGGCCTAAACAATCAACAAACACCTGATATTAACAAGCTAGGTAGTTAGGATGTTAGTTTGTTAGGCTGTCACATAATTAATCATTCCACTCATTTATTGTTTTTAGATTAGTCTGAAATATTACATAAAATTGCCATTCAGGTACTTTGTGGTATCAAGGTTTTATTTTTTAACATGACTTATCTATCCATTAATTGACTCTGACTTTGCCACATGAATGGATGGGAACATATGAATAAGGTGTGTTAGTCTATTCATAACGGAATTAGTTGGTCTCACCAATAGATTGAGCACATTCAGCAGCAGATTTTGAGAATCTCGCAATTAGTAAAGAAGAAGCAGAGAATACACTGCTTGTCTTTTGGAGTCAGAGATTTAGCACCAGTCAGATCTACAGGTAAGCAGCAGCAGCCACAGGATGAACCAAAGACCTAATATAAGAGACAGCAGACCTGGGATTACTATCCTATGGAACCAGACCCAGAGCTCTTTGCCCAAGCTTACTGAAGGACTTTGAAGGAGATAACAATTGACAGACTAAGGGAGCTTTGTAACACTGGCTTAAAGCCACAAGGCTGAAGGTCAAAAAGCTTGTGATTATGCTTGAGAAGATGTCCTGACAGAAAATTTGTCCTGTTAACTTTCCTAAAAATCTCCATAATAATGAGTATGTTTCTGTGTGGTCTGCAAGCTATTGCAATGTATTTCTGAACTAGTAGATCCACAAGATTGTGCAGGATCTTGGGAGACGTGTCTGTCTGATCTAGTGGGAATTGGTTTTGTATTGTGGATGCTACTGATAGGGGCAGTTCCCTCTTATGGGATTTGTAAAAGTCAAACTCAGCTATCTCCAAGCTCCCCTCACTCCTTTTAGATACTTTATCCATGAGAATAATTTCTGTCTATACAAACACATGAACACATACAGCAATTATAACAAGCAACTTGATGTAGTTTGCTGAAACAGTCTAGAACTTTTCTAGAAGAAAACTGATAGTCAATTAGCAAAATGAAAAATAGATACTTAGCATAACTTTCTATCTATATAAGTCTACAAAAATGTAATGTCACATTAAAATTGATATACAAATTGAATTCTAATGTATAATTTATCTAAGAAAAATATAAAAATGTTGATTAGTTTTAATGCTAGCATTAGTTTTGAGTCTTGAAAATCAACAATCAAGATTAAATGTATAATATTACAATTTAGAAGTTTTAATGATTATTAAAATCTATTATCAGAACATTTTCAGAGTTAATATATCTGTTCACATTTCTCTCAAATTCTGTCAATTTTAACAATATCTTTGCATGTCTACTTTGTCCAATTGCTGCTTCCAGGGCTAAGCTTTTACTCTGTAGCATCCACAAGTCTGAGTCTCATCTATTCCAGTGAGTTTACTGTTGTACCAAGCCAAGTGGCTCTTATAACGCTACAGTACATCAGAAATCATAAACTGGTCAATGCCAGAAGGAATGCAAGGTCTATAAAAATACTTTGCTCAATATTTCTAATGCAGTGAACATTTAGCACCACTGTTTGGTTTCAGCATGATGATTTTTTTTCCTTTTCTTTTTAATGATTTTTGGCAGAGAATCCTGAAAAAAAATCTAAATTTTTAATATTTCATTTGCATGTGTATATGTTCTCTTGAAATAAAATTTTTCAAGAATTGATTCTTTTCAGAGTTCTTTTCAAATGTTGTTGAATAGCTTTGATTAAGTGTTCTATGTTTTTTTCCTTTGTTTATCTCAATTCACTGACATCTATTTGGTTGCTACTCATAATGACCTGCCATTGTGTTTCTGAGAGTGTAAATTAGAACTGGAGGAAATCGTCCTCTTTCCTCATGCTGAATGATTTGTGGACTCAAGCTTTCTAAGTTACACAGTTGTTGGATTTACAGTACACTTCATTTGAGCTTATTTCAACAGAGCACTATTTTTTCTTGTAAACAAGGTATATTCCCTGCCTAAAAGTTCAGACTTTTCACGACTTCTTTTATGGCTGAATTGAAAATTAAGAAAGCATCCACTGTAATTGTTGTTTTAGATGAGAAATTACTACTTTTGAGCTAATAGATACACAATTTGACCTTACAGTGCCTCAGAAAATCTCAATAGATTATGTCTGATCCTAAATTTTCTCCATCTACTTTAGCATAAAAGACATATTCAGCTTTAATTTCATAGATTCATAACCCATAATCTATATTAGTTTAGACTTTTAGTTATCTTTGTGAATATAGATAGTGAAAAATTCATTCTCAGAGGCTTTATAAAGAAGTTACCAAATTGATATGCCTTGGTGGGTACAGTGGAGGTGGGTTACAGTTTTTAAGTGCATCGGAAAAATCTGCTGTCAGGGACCTCTCCAGAGTACTGAAAAGCAATCATATCATAGAGACTAAGGTGCACATTATCCAGGCCATGGTCTTTGCAGTTACTTGTTATGCTTTAGAGAACTGGAATTGACTAAGGATGACAGAAGAAAAAGAAAAGTCTTCAAGTTGTGGTGCTGGAGAAGAGTCTTGAACATACCATGGACTGTCAAGAAAGAAAAAAAATAGGTCTGTCTTGGAGAGGGTGAAACCAAGTTTCTCCTTGGAGGCTAGGAATTTGAAGCTCTGTCTCACATACTCTGGGCACTTGGCCAGAAGGGACTGGTACTTGAGAAGGACATCATGCTCGGAAGGGTGGAGGGACAGCACAGGAAAGGAAGACCCTAGATGAGACAGACTGATACAGTAACTGGGGGAGAAGGGGTTGGTGTGTTGAATTTAGTGAGACTGTCACAGGGTAGAGAAGGGATCAGAGCTGCTGTACACAGGGTTGCTATGGGTTGCAGGTGACTAGATGGCACATAACACCACCACCAACAACCTTAATTTGTGGGATTGCTTTGGGTAAGTATATCATCTAGCTGAATTTAATAACACTGCTGTTATAAAATAGGACCGATATGGGGATATGGAAAGAGAACAAAAAATAAAGGATAGAAAATGAACGCTGTATTGGGACAAATTACGGGAAAGACTGTCTGAAAGGAATATCTGACTAGGTATTCGATGTATGACAACAACAGAATAAGTGGTGCATTAAAAGTGGATCGGGGTTAGGTGGGGTAATAAAATGTGCAAAGATGAATGAATGACACTCAACCTTGCTGTAAACATTCATTAAAATCATAATGCAGCAATCTTTTATTTAAAAAAATATTTAAGTACATGGAAACAGAAAAGAAGAAATGGTTGGATTCTTAAGTTAGTTCTTAGGAGAGAAACACTATGTAGGTTGAAACATCATTCTTGTTTTTAACTAGAAAAGGTATTTAAACATGGTTTTTCTCTAAAATATTATCTGTTTAAGATGTGTGGCTATTTAGTATCATTATCATAGATATCCACTATAACTTTAGAAGGCTGACAATCCAGAGAAAATTTTGTTACTGCATCTATGGTCAAACTTAAAAAAAAATAATTGGATTTTTCAACATATATAGTAATTAAAATATGACAGAATTTAAAAGTTTTTGCATGCCAAATTTATTTCTTGAAGAGCAGTATTTACTCTCCACCAATATTTTTCTCAATAGTCAGCTGTTTATTACTCAATAGAAATATAATGGAAACAGGAACCAGATTGGCCTTACTGGCATAATATTTACAAGGCTGTAGTCACCTTCACACAGGATCAGATATGTTATTTAGACTGAATTTGTATAACGAGAAAATTTTCTGTCCAATTACAATTATCCACTTCCTATTAACATAAATATATGTGTTGTACAACATATAGCAGAAACATAACTAGAAGATTATTGCTTCAGTGAGTCTTTCCTTTGATATTAGTCTCTGGACAATTAATCTTAACTTATTTTTTGAATTCTCGGGATCTTTACTGTCTAGGTATTAACATTTGAAAGATTCTGAGTGAATTCAGAATTAGAGCAACAATACGTCAAATAATTACTAAATGCTACAAAATCTATTTGTAAACTTGGAGAAGAATAGAAAAGTCGAACATTCTATTGAGACCTCTCAGTAAATGATAGTTAAGTGTTGTTGTTA